CTCTGGGTGGCCCCATATTCGAACACCGTCAGACATAACTTCAAAATCATAGTATAAAATTTCGATCTTCCTTTTATTTGTGTATTGAAAGTAATCTTTGTATGAGGATATTCAATAGAAACTTGTAAAGAAAACCAATTCCCGATTGCGTCTGCATGACTCCTGCACGACTTTACAATTCACTTTAAGTTGGTTTTGTCATAGCTAATTAAAAGTGAGGTATTAATCGAAATCTCGCCAAAAAGCCAACTATAAGATGGTTAGTTTTAACAATTGATAATTTTTCACTGCAGGGTACAGAAGATAATTCACTCAAAATTGGTATTTACAATAATTTGCAGACGAAAAATAAGATTATTATAAATTTTTGGAAAATGGGCGTAGCCACGCCCACTTATGGTTATATGTGTATATCTTGGTAATCGCTGCACCAATTTCTTCCAAACTTGGCACAGTTGTTGGCCTTGGTACAGCATACTAAATGGCCGAAAATTTAAAAAATCGGACAATAACCACGCCCACATCCCATATAACGGTTATTTAGAGAAATACAAAATCTTCGAAAAATCAGTAAATATTAAAGCTAATTTATTCAAAATTGATGCTTGCAACAATTCTTTACCAAGAAATACGTTTATGATAAAATTTTGGAAAATGGGCGTGGCACCCCCCACTTATGATCACATATATGTATATCGGTAACCGTTCTACCAATTTGTACCAAACTCGATGGTTATTGTGCTTGCCACATAAAAGCAAAACGTTGAAAATTATTGAAATCGGACTAAAATTACTAAATAATTAATTAAAATTTATAAAACTAGGTACGGGAATTGTTTTTGGTTTGGAAAATTTTTGAAATCAGATAATAACCATGCCACTCTACTATACGGGTACTTTTATAAAAAGATAATACTACTATATGCATAGCCAAAGCCAAATCGCTTAAAGATAAGACAAATATTTTATGTAGTACAATTGCATTGCACATCTCACTTGTGAGAAAATGTGTATAGTTAGTTGCGTAACTGATTTATATATCTGACGAAAATTGTTTCAAAATAAGTACATATGTACATACATACACCTCATTCTAACACTCTAGGAAGTATCAACTGCAAAAACTAATTTTTGAAAAGGTCAAAAAATTCAGTCGGCTACCCTCATGGGTATGCGAATTTCTAAATCAGCCGAGTGGCCAAAATTGTATTTGAATATGTACATGGCACATGCATACACATGTATGTGTATACTATTTATACCCTGCAAAAAATTGTGCGACTAATCTCTAAAGAGAGTATTCCGAGATTACTCTCAATCGGGTACAATTGGGCATTAATTAGTCCCAACTAGTCTCATACGGGTACTAGTGGAGGTCAATTAGTCTCGACTCATCCCTTATGGGTATAATTGGAGATCAATTAGTCCCCAACTCATCTCTAACGGGTACTATTAACGATTTAATGATATGTACGCACTCAGCCAATGAAATTTCATGTGCGGCGTTGGCACACAGAGAGAGTATTCGGCTAACAAAACGGAGCACTGCGGTTCGAATCTCAGCTGGCGCAAAATTTTAATTTTTATTTTTTAAAAGTGAATAGTCGCTTTTTATACCCGTTCGGGTATAAAGGTGAACAATTAGTCTCTTCATAGGACATGCTCGAACAAAAGCGATCAGTTCATTCCATATAAAGAGATCAAAAGTGGTATTAGTCGCATGCTCCTTTGCGATTGCTCCCGGAGTCATCCCGGATTAGTCCCATTTTTTGCAGGGTATGATAATATCTATGTATGTATGCCAAATAAATAGTTTTACGCCTTCTCAAACGATCGTTGGTTTTCCCAACCAAGCACCGTTTTTGTTGTGGCATTTTGAAGGAAAATATAGAAAAAAGGTTTTTTCTTAACAGCGGTCGTCCCTCGGCAGGCAATGGCAAACCTCCGAGTGTATTTCTGCCATGAAAAA